TACTTTTTTTTGTTCTAGAAAAACTCGAAAATATTAAAACACATTCAATTTATGAAAAAAAATTTCAAACTATCTTTTTGTAGACTTATAATTACATTTTTCGGAAGAGAATCATGTCATAAAGTCGAGATTATGATCATGTTTGTACATCTCTAATTGATGCATACCTCATCTGCTCTTTTTTTTTAAATCTATTCCAATCTCTCCTATCTGAGTTACTTTAGATTTCTTCTCAATTTGTTGAAAGTCTTTGAAAAGTTCTTTTTTTTTCAAAGAAGGGAAATCTGAAAATCAACTATATATACTAAATATGACAATGTTTTTGTTATAGACCTGTTTGTAGAATAACATTTGATGATTCGATATGAGCATAAAGCTATTTTTTTTTAGACAGTTTTAAATAGAAACTTCATAATCCGTTTACCATTCATTAATTTAATACATTTTTTATTTATCTAGAGTATTGCATGGTCATTCTCACAATCTGATATAGAACAATTTCGTACAAATTTATTATCATGTAATGAACTTCAATCAAAATGTGGTCTTTATACAAAATCAATATTTCATCAACATATGTCACAAGCACTTCTGTCACTTTTACTTACTGTTTTACTTGTTCGTTCACATGAATTATGTCGTGATGATATTATATCAACATTATTTTATATCTTAACAAATGATAAAACAAATAATTTCGTTTATTTTATTCATAATTATTTAGAGCAATCAAATATAAAAACAGTTTTAAATGATAAACATAAACATATATTATTAGAAAATTACAGTCGAAATGAAACGGTTTGTTATATCTTTAAAAAATTTTTTTTTGCAAAAATATTTGCATTTTAATACTTATGTATGTGTTTAATTTATTAGAATACAATTAAAGTAGATTTGCTTTCGATAGTTGTTTTCTCAAAAGAGAATTTTTATTATGAACATTAATTAAATAGGAAGCTTCTAAAATTTTGTTTTATATTTTAGGATTTACCATCATTTGCACAAAATCTCAATAATTTCATACATGACTATCGACATTATATAACGACGAATTCACCGTGAACTATCGACTGTGCAATATAATTGTCTTGCTTTTTTCAAAACTTCTTTTTGTATTTTCAAAACAATCTTTAATATAAAAACAGAATAAAAAAAATAACGATGAAGTACTGTACCTGATGATTGTCATGCATATGTTCTCAAATAATCGATTGGCTTATTTGAAGTCATATTGAAAGATTTTCTTCTAGGTTGAAGAAATCTTCTAAAATGTTTTTGGATGTTCTGCTGTCAGTGGCTTATTTTATCTAATTTGATATGCTCGAAAGAAGACATTAACGTGTATACATGTAGATAATGAGGGAAAGAAACAATAGAAAATCTCCAATGAATCCAATTTGTTGTTGTTGATACTTTGTCGACGAATTGAAAATTTTATTCTATGAAAAAGATGAAGAGGATTTGTTCTGATATGATTTTTGTCAATTGAGACAAATGTACATTCATGTTGAAATTTTTTCTGATTGCTATTAACTGTGATACATCAACAAAATATATGTTTGTGATCTTGCTCACCTTTCGCTAAATTCGAACGGTTCTTTGCAAATCCCATATCCGAAATTAGCCACTGCATATTTGAGACTTTATGTTGAGATTTGACGAACATATCGTGTTCATTCGTTGTATCGAATCTCAACCTCAATGCCCATCTCTTCTTTGTTATCATACATTTATAATATCCATAGCTACTTCAAATCGACATAAGCACAAAAATCATGAAGAAGGGTGCAGGTGCGGGTGTGGATATGGATGTTCGTGTAGTTCTTCTCTTAACCCACACCCACACCCTTTGCTAAAAAAGGGAAACAAAATTTGTGTGTATGTGTGGCGTGTGTGTATCTGCGTGGATAAGCATGTTTTCATCATCCACATCTACTACCATCACATTCATCCATACCTTCAATAATATAAGGGGAAGAAAAGCAAAGCCCTCTGAATATCATAAAAGAAAGTGAAATGTCAGACACTTTATAATATTTTGTTGTAATAAATCTCTTTTCTTTTTCATTCTTTCGTTTTTTGGTGACGTTACAGATAATAACATATAAAAAAGAAGTGAAGCACGTATATGAAACTCAAGTAAACAACACTCCAACAACAACAATTGAAAACATATAGAAACATGTAGAAAAACTCTAACATACTATATAAGTTCCAGTCATTTTATTTTATTTTTTCTATTGATAAAGCACAACACACACCATGTACAAAAATGAAAAGTCAGCAGCAGCACAATTTCTTGTTGCTGCCGTTGCAACAAATGAACATATTAGCATAAGACCACGATTGACTTCTTATAGTCGTATGATTCAAAACTTTGTCTTGGTATGGCTCGATGCCAATATCGATAACATGAACAACAATAATTGTATCTATACCATCAGCAAATTAAAAGAAGTGGTGAACAAGGTACATCCATACACTAATGTAAATGAAGACATTGATTTTTTAACCGATATCCAACAAAACAAATTGTTTATTAATTTTTTCTGATGAATTCAGACAAATAGCTCTTCCCATCGTCCAGGATATACTACAAATCAATACTATCTATATTTTGAGTCAGAACCGAGATCAGCATTATAATCAGGCTAAAAATCAACGGTATATTCACTGATATTAATCCTATATTTAACGCTCTTCAATAAGCGGCAGAAGAATATGATCAAAACGTGATTTCGATCAGTTTTCTCACTCATTATAGTGAAAGCAGCAAACCAAATGTATCAATAGTACGTGAGCAATTCTATGCTTGAACGCTTGCGCATGAACAAAAAGAGAACGACAGATATAAAAAAAAGATTCTTAGAGAAAAAAATTAATAATTGTTATTCTTCATGGAGAAAATATTTAAAAAGAACCTGCTGGAGGCTATAGGAGACCTATTTTTTAGAACAGGCACCTAATATTCAGTTTTTCATAATCTTGCAAATGATGTTATTTCCATCAACACTGTACGAGATCGAAAATTTCGTATCCGTCAACAAGTCCCATGGCTTTTAACTTTTTCATTGTTGATGTAATATAATTGCAATTAGAGAACATGTTCGTATTTGGTCTATGATGCGTTAAGTGATGCCGACGAGAGGGATAAGGAAGGCATGTCTTGTTATAAATTATTTTGATTTTGCTTCTGTTGAAAAAGGTAAGCAACACATTTGCATACTATTCGTTCTCAACAAACACGATTTGCCCATCCTTCATGATTTTTGTGTGATGATTATAATAATTAATGTCCATTTCTAATTAAAAGCAGGGTGATTGTTTATTAAATAACTTTCGAACCGTTATAGCTATCGATCTGCGGTTTTCACCATTAGAAAGATCATGTGATTCCGCATCTTTTGATATAATGGAAATTATTTCAACTCATAAGTTTGATCAGCTGA